TTCGGGCCATAAATGTCCAAACCAAAAGAAGAAAAAACACACCTCAACAATAACGCTAATTTCTGCTAGCACCCCTATGGAATAGTATGTGGTGATAATATTTTTGTACTGAGTTAACAACGCTGCACATGAACATTTTTTAGCCAGTCTAGATTAAACATGATTGAACACGGTTAGTTTGGCTGTATCTACACTATACTGCCAAAAGTATTCGCTCGTCTGCCTTCACACGCATATGAACTTGAGTGACATCCCGATTCTTAATCCATAGGGTTTAATATGATGCTCACCCTTTGCAGCTATAACAGCTTCAACTCTTCTGGGAAGGCTTTCCACAAGGTTTAGGAGTGTGTTTACGGGAATTTTTGACCATTCTTCCTGAAGTGCATTTGTGAGGTCAGACACTGATGTTGGACGAGAAGGCCTGGCTCTCAGTCTCCGCTCTAATTCATCCCAAAGGTGTTCTGTCGGGTTGAGGTCAGGACTCTGTGCAGGCCAGTCAAGTTCTTCCACACCAAACTTGCTCATCCATGTCTTTATGGAGCTGCTTTGTGCACTGGTGCGCAGTCATGTTGGAACAGGAAGGGGCCGTCCCCAAACTGTTCCCACAAAGTTGGGAGCATGAAATTGTCCAAAATCTCTTGGTCTGCTGAAGCAGTAAGAGTTCTTTCACTGGAACTAAGGGGCCGAGCCCAACTCTTGAAAAACAACCCCACACCATAATCCCCCCTCCACCAAACTTTACAGTTGACACAATGCAGTCAGACAAGTACCGTTCTCCTGGCAATCGCCAAACCCAGACTCGTCCATCAGATTGCCAGATGGAGAAGCGTGATTCGTCACTCCAGAGAACACATCTCCACTGCTCTAGAGTCCAGTGGCGGCGCTTTACACCACTGCATTCGAGGCTTTGCATTGCGCTTGGTGATGTAAGGCTTGGATGCAGCTGCTCGGCCGTGGAAACCCATTCCATGAAGCTCTCTACGCTCGTTCTTGAGCTACTTTAAAGGCCACATGAAGTTTGGAGGTCTGTAGCGATTGACTCTGCAGAAAGTTGGCGACCTCTGCGCACTATGCGCCTCAGCATCCGCTGACCCTGCTCTGTCATTTTACGTGACCGACCACTTCGTGGCTGAGTTGTTGTCGTTCCCAAACGCTTCCACTTTGTTATAATACCACTGACAGTTGACAGTGGAATATTTAGTAGTGAGGAAATTTCATGACTGGACTTGTTGCACAGGTGGCATCCTATCACAGTACCACGCTGGAATTCACTGAGCTCCTGAGAGCGACCCATTCTTTCTCAAATGTTTGTAGAAGCAGTCTGCATGCCAAGGTGCTTGGTTTTATACACCTGTGGCCATGGAAGTGATTGGAACACCTGAATTCAATGATTTGGATGGGTGAGTGAATACTTTTGGCAATATAATGTATGTAGACACTAGAGGGTAAAAAATCCTGACTGGACAATTTTCTATTTCAAGATTTTAACCCTTTTGATTCCAACCAAAACTTAATAAGAAATAAGAGCAATAAATAAAAATAAACGAACGGTAGATGCAGCGCAAAACAAAATTCCTTGCAAAATGATGGATAATCTAAAAGGACTCATTTTCATCTACATACGCAAATTTTACATTTGCTTTTACTATTATTCAATTTGCATTCATGCTCATGGCTCCCCGTTAGCCAGAGCCCTGGACATAGTAACCCTACAAGGCCTTCCTGAAACTCTACGGTCTGGTATATCCTCTGTATTGGTTTTATGCATCAGCATATTGCATTTCACTGCACTCAACACAACCAAGGTCAGTCTTTATTCAGCCACATTCATGTCCACCCTTTGTGGGGGAGAAAAACTGATGAAGTCCAGTGACCTCAAACCATCAATCCAGTCCATGGACAAGGTCATCTGTAACAGCTTACACTTGCATGCCGACGCACCAACACAGTGTTCAGCTCATTGCTACTGGCATGTTCTGCATGACCATGACTATCACTGTCCAAGCATGTTTTTCTGCCACTGCTGGCAGCAACTGAACAACCCAGATATGGAGTTCCATTTAATACTGGCTGGATGAATGTAATGAATAATAATATGAATCTCTTTTTTTTTCTTTTCGGTATAGGTTAGCACGGCAGAAGATCTTATTAAATGTGAAACTCTACCTGAATATGAACGTCATTCTGTGGCAGCAACACTGAAAGTAATAAATAATTAGAGTCATCTGAAGGTCAGCAAAGATGCCTACTAAATATGCAATGGGGAATCCACTCCCCCACAGCCTCCCCGAATCAAAAACACTTGTAGCTGCTCTGTACATTACACTGATCTTCAAATAATGTTTGTCCAATCTCAGAAATGTGACATCTTGTTTAATGCAGCAGAGGTGTTGGTGTGAGATGCCAGTGTACTTTAAAGCAGCAGCCCTCAGTCTAAAGGCCTCAGCATTCTTCTTACGGAGACGATGTTTGCCTGGCTTCAGCAAACAATATGAGGTAATTGCGGAGAAAACGAACAACCGCAGACTTCGTTCGTCGTGTTGCACGCAAGGCAGCTGGGCAAACTCCGCGGACGAAGACGCTTCGCGACAGAGCCTTTGATTGGTCTGTAAAAAAAGAGGCGTGCCATGAAACAAAGATGGACAACTTTGAGGAGCTTCACCTTTGGCAGATACTCTAATATTTCACTGTGAAACGCGCATTTGTTAAATAAACAATGAATATCTCCTAAATGTAAGATGTTAAGTCTATTATTCGCTAGTACTAACTAGTACTAAGCACCAAAACATACAGGTTATCTTATATTTAGGTTCACAAGAGGACGAGGCTGAAGTTGGCTTTCTATTCACCAACTTCTTGTTTGAAATTCCTGTTCCACCTTAAATGGTGGCAGTATTCTGAACTCGCCGTAGGTAGAACTGTGAAAGAACCGTTTTCCAGCAGTCCTGAAACTTATAAAATGTCATAGCATCACGTGGAGCATCCGTGACAAGCAACACTAAACCGCAGAAAGTATGAGAGGTTGTAAGCTCGCGAAGGCGCTTTCGGCTTCATATAACCCTCGAAAAATTTTGCAAGAAGTATGCTGAGGCATTAAGGCTCCCTTTGTGGATAGGGGTCCCCTTCCCACCCCACAACCAGTCACTTTCACTTGACAAACAAGGACCATGTCTTACCAGAACGTCGTCCATTTTGCCAGAATATGACCTGCACATACAAGTGACACGGCCATGTTCTACAAAATTACTGAAAACTTACGTGAGTGAAGTGTGGTCACTAATTGTGACTAAATTGGTACTTATTTAATTTTAGTGACATTCAACATCTAAAAGTACCATTTTGGTATGGTTGAAGCAGATTCATTTTATTTATGTAACTTCAGTACAGAAACAACTTCATATATTTTTCTGCGGCCCCTTTAGCACCCCGCTGCAGCCCCCATTTCAGAACTGTTATATAGGACTAGTTCAACTTTTTCCTCAAGGTTTTATTCCAACAGCAGATTTATGTATGTGTGTGTGTGTGTGTGTGTGTGTGTGTGTGTGTGTGTATGTATGTGTGTGTGTATATATATATATATATATATATATATATATATATATATACACACACACACACACATACACACACACACGATGAACAATCATTTGTGGGATACGTGGGATTTTTTTTCTTTTTTTTTTCTAGGCACTGTATTGCATGTGTGCATCACTGTCACCATCATCCAATCTGGGTAGTATGTCAGCAGTGTCTAATCATGGAAAAATAAAAGGATGACAGTGATAAAGCAAGTTTTCTCAATATTTGGAGAAATGAGCAAACAAGCAAAACTAGGAGCATAATAATATCCAGTAATGCTCAAAGCAGTTGTTTTAGTACAATTTTGATATTGCCCATGATGCGTATGGATCATATGGATGACTGCTTCTGAAAATGCCAACTGTCAAAACAGAAAGATCAAATCTAAACAAATAAAGAAATAAGAGGAATTACGGTTGTGAATGTTGCTTTAGAGGCAATGTGCTGTTACTTTCATTCAATAGTAAAAAATGCTTAATAAAGAATGATATGGCAGAGTACTAGCTATAAAGTGAGAAGGTAAAGATGTAAATAATTTTATGCTAAAAATGTTTCACAAATATGTTAAAATACTCATTCATAACTGACACAGAAATCCAAGGACGTGATGCAGTTGAAATGTTTTATGCCTGTGGATGTACAAGAGCACTCTGAACTCCAAAATTGGATGCAGTTCTGTGCCCAGTGGAAGTAATGGGAGGTAATCTTTGCATATTACTTTGGAGGAATGCTTTTCAGACAAAAAAAAAAGAAATAAAAAACCAAAATTGTTTACAAAAAAAACCAAAAAAAAAACAGCTAATATGTTTTCTGAGGAAAGAGGCTGGAGTATACCCGTAACTGCACACACAAACACTCCAGCCACATTACATGATGCTGGGTGCAGAATACCAATGACCACCCCTATGCTTCAGTGCACTGAAAAATAAAGTGATCCAATTAAGTTTTCATTAAGCTTTAATGAAAACACATAACTGTATGGCTTCCGGGTGTGGTGGTTATTGTCTCAGGAGAAATGCGAATCCCGTGTCACGGCAGCGCACACATAATACATCAGACCAGCGCAACTCGGCCAGGCTGATTGATGCATGATTCAAACACACATCAGCAGTGCTGTAGCTTGGGGGCCCCACACAAGAACTCTGGACACTTATTGCCAGCCTGTATTGCTGGGAAGACCTTGGAGCTCATGGAGCTATTGAGCATGACTGTAAATTAGACTATGTACACTACAAAAACCAGTCCAGTGCAGTAGAATCTGCTCCTTTGATACATCTATCATTCTGAATGTGTTTAGCCTACATATTTGACCTTCAGTGGAACAAAATGTCAGCATTGAAAACATGTGTAGATGATGACATTTGTGCTAGAAGAAAGAGGACAGACCTTTCACGTACTGTCTGTGTTTCTTTCAGCAGACTGTCGTACCGGACCGGGCAGGATACAGCCAACTGTGACACATGCCGGAACAGTGCCTGCATCATCTACAGGTGAGACGCTGCGGATTTATGCTGCGTTCACATGTTTGCAGCAGATGGACGAAAAAACGGATGTTCCATGTTTTCAGTGGAACTGCAATGGAAATTTGTGCCACCACAAATGGCAACATTCAACAGACCACAGTAATCAGTGGAACGTTCCATCAAGAGTTCAATTTTCCCAGCTTTTGCCATTGTCAGTAGTGGTGAAATAAACTGGATGTTGATTCTCATCTCGTTGCTGAACTCCAAACTAGCCCAGTATTATGCAACTAAGTTAAGGTTACAGAATGTCGCCCTACCTTTTTCCATCTTAAATAAACAATATACTCTGCTAAAGCTCTCCTCTGATAATCACCCATTTTTGCCTGCACCGCAGTCACAATGCCAGTGTCTGCTGACCTTCATGCTGTTATCAGCCACAGACCACTATGAGGTGCAAAATGTGAACGCAGCACTAGCTTGATCAATGCATGTTTAAAGTGAGGTTCATTGTACATGCAGATACAAATAAAGACACATTTAGTAAGCAATAAGGCAACATCTGTTTTGGAACTGGAATTTACCTCTTTTCTTTTACAGGTACAAGAAAAAAAAAACAAAAACAAAAAAAAACACACCCCTATGATAATGCTAATTTCTGTTTGTGCCCCTATGGGGTTCCTAAAACTATGTAAGTGCTGAGCCATAGCTGGATCATATGAATATTTTGGTAGTTCTAGATTAAGAATGGACATTTAAGTCTTATGATAGATAGATAGATTCAACTTTATTGTCATTGCTCAGTACAAGTACAAGGCAACAAAATTCAGTTAGCATCTACCAGAAGTGCAAATAGTAGCAACAGTGAAAAACGGACAATGCAAATGTATATCTATGAATGATAAATACATGTATATATATATACACACATAATACTATAAATACAATATATACGGTATGTTATGTACTGTAAGCAGTTATGTGCTGTGTTCTATATACAGTATAGACTATATAATTATGAAAGACATCCCATATGTTTTATTTGAAGCTTGTAACAAACAATTTTCCTTTGTTGTATATGGCAGTTTTACAGTGACTCTTTCAGTAAAGAGCTCTGGAATTGAGCTACCTCTGTTTTCCATTTCTAACACCTGACTGAAACCTGGCTAAACTTCGGCTTATATTCATAGTAAGTTCTGTATCTAGGACTTTCAGACGGATTAGAGTAGGGGTATTTAACTGAAACTTGCGAGGTCCAGTTACAACAATGTTCTTGCTTACAAAGGTCTGGATAAACAAATTAAGAAAAGTGAAGGGTGAGTTTAAAGGTTATCTTTAAATGCTTAACCAGTAATGATTTGTCTGGGCAACTAATTGATAATAAAAGCACATTAAATATATTTTGATAAACTGTTTTACTTAGTATATACTTTAAAAAGAAAATTATTCATATGAAATAGGTCTACTGTATTTAAACATATTCAATTTAGCTATGTTAATGGGAATAGCTTACTCTGGCAATGGAAACTAGGCTAGCTACTCAGACCTTGAATCCACTTTCTGGTTTTGTATTTTGTGGTCACTGGTAGTTAACCATTGATGTAACTGATGAAAATGAATTCAAGGTCTGGATTTGAAGACCTCTGATCTATGCAACAGAATCCCACATGGAAATTTAATTAATATATAACATATATTAGCATATACGTGTTTTACTTTTATCCATTTTACATTAGTCACCTATGGACATATATGTCATATATGTGCCAATTTATTTGAAATTGACCATTTTCAAATATGGGACATATACTGATATAATGTTAAATATGTGTTGATATATGACAAAACATTCATAAAGAGAAGGCATATATTACTTAGCTTCATGTTATATAATATAAGGTTTCTATGTGTCTTTGTTTCTTCCACATACTAAATGTAATAATAAATAATAAAAACAGATGATGTAGTAACAATTTTAACAATATTGGCATGTTATCAACCATCTAGAAGACATATTGTACTGTATAATCCATATATTATGCATGTAAGTCCAAGATTTGATATGTACACATATGGAAATGTGATGTGTGACTGTATATGCATGTATATCAGGGTCAGGCATGTACAGTCACACACCACATTTCCTTGTGGGATACTTTGAAATTACTTTGGCTATAAGGTCACAGCAGGAAAACAAAATTATGTAGCATAGAACACCATGAAACAGGAAATATACTTGCATTACTGTGAGAATCAGCAATATCAAGAGGAAACTACACGAAAGCATCAACATGTGGCTCCAAAGAACGAATTTATCAAACTGAATATCACGTCGAAATTATAGCACCTGAGCTCAGATCTGATTGCTGTTCCCATAAATGAGAGATGCAGGAGCTCTTGCCCAGTTTAACACCTGGCTGACGACAGAAAGCCAGAAGCAGCAGAACATTCTGGTCACTGTCTTATACTAGACTAGGCAGTTCTACCCTCTGCTTAAGGAACATGCTTGCTCTTAGTGCAGCTGCAGATCACTACAGAAAGATAAGTTCACACACCTTCACATATTCCCACGCAACTTTGCAGCAACCGTTTGTGAACAAAGTAATCACAGGTTCTTTCCTGTTGATTCCCTCACACCATTAATGTGGTTTTTAAACACGGAGCTCTGTATGATTCATCCTGACTTCACACAGACACTGACGTCTCTCATACAGTCAGTAACCATCAGAGAAAGTGCAGTTGGAGCTTTTAGGCTGATGACAAATCCACTGTGGAGGCTCTAGTCCTTTTAATCAAAAGTTTGTGTCTGCTGCATTTAACAGGACATGTGAAATGCCGTAAAGCCCAGACACGCTAAGCCGATTCTGCCCCGCTGGGGCGATCAATTTTGAGAGAAATCTCAGTGGTTGTCCCTGGCCTTACAGAACACAACACAATTTAACTCTGTGAGAAATTAATGTTTTAGTACTGATTAACAACAGAATTTTTCTGTTATTGCTTTTATCAGAGCACACAATAATCCACAATGGCAATAAAGAAGAGATTCAAATTTCAAATCATAAATCACACAAATTGTTGCAGGTTATCTGTGTTTGTCTCATATCCATGACTGAACTGGCTGCCATTAAAGACATTTTAACAAGGAATTGGGTCTCTTCACCATATTCAAGTTGGTGCTTTTAAAAGACAAAGGAGAGCGCATAGTAACTTGATAGAAATCTGATTTGGAACTGTGACCTGATCTGTGCAGAATGGTACTGTGCAGAAGAGCGGTCAACAAAGCTACACTCTTTAAAAGAACAGCGGATATATGTACACTTACTATTATAGTTGCTAATTCATCAGGTGCTTTGTATCTACACTCACTGGCCTTTTTATCACACACCTACCCAATAGGTGCCCTTTGTAGGTTTGTAGTTGCTGACTGCAGCCCATCGGTTGCTGCAGGAGGGTGCCTCAGCTACCCCTAGAAAAGCCTAGCACCCCCAGAAATTTAGGTGAAATTTGCTTGTTAATTACATATATAGAGATGATAGACAGATGGACGGACGGACGGACGGACGGACAGATAGATAAATAGATAGATAGATAGATAGATTCAACTTTGTCATTGCTCAGTACAAGTACAAGGCAACGAAATGCAGGTAGCATCTACCAGAAGTGCAAATAGTAGCAACAGTGAAAAACAGACAGTGCAAATGTGCAATAACAGGCATAAATATGATGTATCTATGAAATATATAACTATATGAACAATATATACACAATTACAAATGTATCTATTAATTATATATACGGTATGTTATGTACTGTTAGAGTAAGAGTAGTATACTGTATATAGACTATAGACCTATGAAAGACTTTTGCTTGTTAATTACATATATAGCAATGATTACGTTTTAGCACAGGGTTCCACAGATACAGTCCTGGAGTCTGAGGAGTTTCCTGCTCAAACACACCTGATTACTTCAATCTGTTAATTGGCAGATTTAAAGGGCATGTTTGAGTAGAGGTACCACCAAGCTGTGCTGGACAATGACCCTTAAGGACAGATGTTGTGCAACCCTGTTTAGCCAATTAGGCCCTAGCCTGACATCTCAGTATGTTACGGCTGATAAAAACATGTTTGCTGGGAAAAGTGTGTGGTACATTTCATAGTTCTTTCCTGGTGCCAAATGCCTGATTAGCATGTGCCAGGTCTGCTGGCTCTGCTCAAGGAAAAAAGGGCAACCTGAACTTAAAATCAATTTAATTTAAATAACAACACATTGCAAACACTCTTAATAAAAGAGTCAGAGTAATCATATTTCACAGGACACCAACATGGATACTTTTCCAAGGCAGCCAAAAATACTAGCAATTCCTTCCAAAGCAGGGATTTGAACGCTAATCTACAGTTTACCCATCTATGCTATTTAATTGTTATCAACCATTTTTTTCTAATAAAAAACTTGATTTAGGAAGTTAGGGTCCCTTATTCTGAACATTATGTTTGGTTGTTGTACTGATGAGCAATGAAGCTTGAGGAACCAAAAACCGACCCACTAGCTTGCAGAGGCTGAGCCTCACCTCACTGAAACAGATCTTTAGGAATGGCCACATAAGACAAGCATGATATATGGCAAACCAAGAGGGCACTTGTCAATCTGAGGGCAAAAGAGGAAACTTGTACATTAGTGTTGCAGTACTCAAGGCCGGTCTTGAGAGCATAAATTAACAGCTTCGATCTTGTCAAAGTCTCAACATCATTTGGACTGTCTGTTCTCGAAAACAGTCGAGTGCGAAGCCTCCATCTGAGGTAGTTAGAAACTGAGCTGTTTTTCTATCATTACTGAATATCAACAAAACCTTCAAACAGAATGAAACAGTTCTTTCCCTAAATGTTTAAATAAAATCTGCACACTGTTGGTTGAGAATCTAACTGATTCTTTCAGTGATGGATTTACTGGGTTTATTTGGATTATTTGTTTGTTGATGTTCACTGCTTCCAAAATTCAGACATTCCCTGAGGGCAGACCAAAATGTTATTA